ATTACTACCGAAGGGGACACGTATATTAGTGATGGTACACTAGTAAATCTTGATGAACCTAATAGCTATAAGGAAGCCATGGCAGGCCTGGAGTCTGCGAAATGGAAAGAGGCAATGGATAGCGAGATCCAATCCATGTACGATAACCAAGTTTGGAATTTGGTTGATTATGTGCCCGAACGTAAGACCGTTGGGTGAAGGACCTCGGAGAGGCTTCTTACATTTTGGGAATAAGGATAGTAAGAGAAAGAAGTAAGAGACTAATTGGACTTAGTCAGAATACTTACTTAGAAAAGGTACTAAAACGTTTTAGTATGAAAAACTCAAAGAAGGGAGAATTACCGATACAAGGAAATGCCAAGTTGAGTAAGACTCAAAGTCCGAATACCGAAGCTGAGATAGCAGAAATGAGCCGAGTACCATACGCTTCCGCAGTTGGCTCAATCATGTACGCTATGACTTGTACTCGCCCTGATGTAGCCTTCGCTTTGAGCATGGTTAGCAGATACCAAGGGAACCCTGGCAAAGCACATTGGATTGCGGTGAAGAACATCCTTAAGTACCTTTGGAGGACGAAAGAATGGTTCTTAGTCCTTGGAGGGAGTGATGACTTGAAGGTGCGAGGGTATAGTGACGCCAGCTTTCAGACCGACAGGGACAACTACCTTTCGCAGTCGGGTTGGGTCTTTACCCTAAATGGAGGAGCAGTGACATGGAAAAGTTCCAAGCAGGAAACCGTAGCTGATTCAACGTGCGAATCAGAGTACATTGCAGCAAGCGAAGCGTCGAAGGAGGCAATATGGCTAAAGAACTTCATAGGTGATCTTGGGGTTGTGCCGGCCATAAAGGAGCCCATGGAGATTTTCTGTGATAACGAAGGTGTGGTTGCGTTGACCAAGGAACCGAGGGATCATGGTAGATCTCGACATATCGACAGAAAATATCACTTCATTAGACATCGTGTAGAAGAAGGAAAACTCGTAGTGAAGAGGATATCATCAGAAGATAACCCAGCAGATCCACTTACGAAGGGACTGAGTAGGGTTAAGCACTTGCAGCATGCTAGGAGTATTGGGCTGAAGGATGATATTAGTATAGATTAGATAGTGTTAGAAACGTATAATAGATAAATGTAATTAACATTTGATGATTAAATAAAGGAGTTTTATTTATGAGTAAAGTTACTGTCACATGTTAATTGTTTAACTATTGTTTCACTTTGCATGTTTTGACTTCCAGAATAATTGAGTTTATTAGGAATAATCGAATTATTCAAATGGTCCACAATCGTTCATATGTTGGGAGTAGATATGAATGAAGATTGTCATGAATTGGTGTGTAGAATGTCTAAATGGTGTTAGACATAGCAAGGGTTGTTGCAATGTTCATGAGTGCTTATGAACTGGTTTTGAGCATTGGAATAAACCCGCGCTTGCTGGAATCACCTTATGGAATACGATATAAAAGGTGATCGCAAGACGATAATATCATATAGTCTTAAAACCTAGATATATGGTGTATTATTTGTTAATTGATTGTACATTGATAATGCGAAAACGCATCAGTAACTCGGTGTTATAAAACGCATTGTTGTGTATAGTTGGTTAATGAATAAGTAAATGCATATAAGTCGAAGTTTATCTGTAACTTTAATCTAAGAAGGTAAAAGCGATATCTTGGCCGCTTGATGATTTGATTTGACTTATGTGCCGGGCCCGGTCAGAACTGAATTGATGTGTTTGATTAAGTTCTATGTCAAATATATCAGAGATCGAGAAACCCAAATGCTTGACTAACCATTCCATAGGATTGTCGGCATGATATCTAACAGAGGACTGTACTATCCCTTATCTAAAGGACAAGATTGATTAGATCAGAGTTGATAGCGTCTTTGAGAGCTACGATTGCAAACTGAATTGTACTTGTATAGTTACTAGACTTATCCAAGTGGGAGACTGTTGGAATAGTGTCTAAGGCTGAAACTATATTAGGCAAGTATTTGATCCGGTTGTGCATGGTCCTTTTGGGTTGCCTTCACCATAGCAACTTGATGGATGATTTGTTAAAAGAGAGTAAATATTATAAGGAATAATATATGGTTATTTGATTCATATAAGTCATAGATTAATTGGAATTAATTTGGTGACTTAAAGAGATTAATTAAATAAAGGGGTATAAACTGTCAATTGTTTGATAGTTAAACTTTAGACTATAAATCCATTGGGATATGCTTTGGACGAATTCTATGAGATATAGGATAGCTAAAATCGTCCAAAGGCTTATCTATGGAATGGATTTGGATAGCCTTAAGAGAAGATTATCCAATTAGGGTTTAGGTTGTAACCCTTAAGGAGTCTACAAGTATAAATAGACCCTAGGGGTGAGGGAATTCGACACACCATCAAAAGTAGAGATACTCTGGCCGAATTCCTCCCCTCTCATCTCTCATAAATCATCTTGCTTGCTATTGGTGTTTGTAAGCCATTAGAGGAGTGACATTTGTGACTCTAGAAGCTCCAAGATAACAAGATCAACAAGGAACTCAAAGGTATGATTCTAGATCTGTTTCAATGTTGTTATTTAACCTAATTAGCCATTAGAAGTCTTGGATTCAAAGCATGTTTAATTAGAAAGCCTAGATCCAAGCATTAGGGTTTTGCATGCGCACATAGGAAAGTTCTTATGGCTAAAACCCATCAGTATGGACACCCCCAAATCTAAAGATAAATTGAGCACAAGACAAGATCTTGAGATGCTATGTGACCGACCTCTTCTAAACCCCGTTCGGGACAAAAAAAAAAGGAAGGCTTGGATCAAGAAAGGAGACTACACTTTAGAGAGGGTCGATATTAAAAAAGTTTGTGCTTGGCTGAAAAAGTTGAAATTTCCAGACGGATATGCATCGAATATAGGGAATTGTGTGAACGTCAAAAATGGCAGTTTTTACGATTTCAAGAGCCATGATTGTCACGTCTTTATGCAATCTTTTCTTCTCACCTTTGCATGTTTTTTCTAGTATTATGCTCAAGAGCCACGAAATTTTGCACCACGACATGACAACTCTTCTAGTGGAGATATATTAAGCATATTTGCCTTTCCATCAAGAAGATTACATGAAAAGGGTGGAAAGAAAAGACTCTTGAAACATGAAGAACTTCACAAAGCACACACTTACATCCTACTAAATTGTGCAGAAGTTTCCCCTTTCATCCCAGAATTTGATCGAGCGGCCCAAGCATCATATCAAAATGAACCAATTTCAGTACTTAGAGATAAATACTTTGCACAATGGTTTAAATACAAAGTAAGTAAAACCAATTCAATCATATTGTTAATTTTTGTGTTTTTTTCAAGAAACATTTGGCATATATGCTCTTCAATGTATGTAACGAGGGACTCAATTGATGGAAGTGCTAAACATTTATAACCTTTAGCAAATGGCCCCTCGAACAATGCTCGGTCTTACAACAGCTACTTTGTAAATGGTTATAAGTTCCACACACAATAATATGGTAAAGGACGTGCAACAAATAACTATGGACTATGCGTGTGGGGGGAGATACATAATGGCGAAGAGTCAGACTACTACGACTTATTAGATGAGATCCTAGAGATTGACTACTATGGCATTGGGCGCTCGACTATTGTGCTATTCAAATGCACTTGGTTTGATAATATCCGCGGTGTAGTAGTTAACAAGAATAAATTGGTTGATGTTAAACCTACGTCTCATATTCAAACTAATGACCCTTTTTGTTTGGCATCACAAGCGGAACAAGTATTTTATACACCATATCCTGCGGTGACAGATGAATTAAAAGATCTTTGGGCGGTTGTCAAGACAAAACCAAGAGGGGTATATGAAGTCACCGAAGCTGAAACGGAAGTTGCGCTTGATGGAAGCACTGAATCAAATGGAGTCTTTCATCTTGATGAACGGTTTGAGTTACCGAATGAAGTAAGTTTTAGTGAACGTTTGAGCCTAGCCTCAAATAGAACTAACTTTGAGCAAATATCTTCCGATGAGAGTGAGGGTTCTGAAGCGGAAAACCAAGAAGATGATACAGATGAAGATGATAGAGACGAACCAGTTTATTTTGACTACTATGATCCAGATGAGGATGAATGTTAGGAAGTTTGTTTTATGTTATATGGTATATACACTTTTATATATTTGTTATCTTGTTTTACTTTTAATTTATAATATGGTATGTAGACGCTAGTCTATTTGTTATTTTTCATTATCATCTAACATATTTGACTATTTTTGTTATATAAATCCAACATGTCGGATAAAAGCCTAACACGTAACCTTTTTCCAGTTCGTCCTTCGTCAGGTGGTAGGCCATCATCTTTGTCTGACCGTAGTGGCCTTCAACGCATCCCTCTTACAGGTGGTTCTATACCAGGAGAAACGTCATCACCTTTGCCTGATCCTAATGGCCTTCCACGAATCCCTCTTACATGTGGTTCAGTACCAGGATCCAGGTCATCACCTTTGCTTGATCCTAGTGGCCTTCCATGCATCCATCTCATAGGTGGTTCTGTACCAGGAGCCAAGTCATCACCTTTGCCTGATCCTAGTGGCCTTCCACGCATCCCTCTTACAGGTGGTTCTGTACTAGGATCTGTGTCATCACCTTTGCTTGATCCTAGTGGCCTTCCACGCAGTGGTTTTGTATCGGGAGCCAGGTCATCGCCCGGCCCTAATGGCCTTCCACACATCCCTTTGTCGGGTGGCCTTTCACGCACTTCAGTTAGGACGACAAGGTCAGGATTCTCAGGGAGTAGTAGCATGGGTGACATAAATACCAACATGGGCTTGACTGATGCTATAGCAGATACAGGGGTGGTATAGAATGTTGGGAATGGTATTGCATATGGTTATGAGATGGAAGGTAACAATGAAGACCCTGCTAGTGATTTTTTTTTATAATGGGCCTGAGCATGAAAATGACCCTGAGCATGGGCATGAGTCTGTGCATGAGCCTAAATCACCAATGGTTCAGACGCCCCATTATTCTAGTACACATGATGGATCAAATGATGCAGATTCGAATGGCTCTCATAGGCCATTTATCACACAAAAGGGGTACAAGTAAGTCTTTTTTTAATTATTATAAATTTACTATTTTTGATGTTATAATTATCCTTATATGGTTATTTCAATATTGTAGGTTTGGGAGACAAAGTATTCATCAGGCGATCGTAAAGATATTTTGGCAGTCTATAAATGAACCTTGGATTACTTATAAAAAAATTCCAAAGGAAGTTGTCACTCAAATGTTTGAGCGTTTTAGGGTAATATATCAATTATTTATTTTTATTATCTATTTCTCATTCACTGTTATTTTGCATTTTAAACTTTTACTTTTTATTTTTTACAGACTCAATACCGGTGGGATCCAAATGAAGAAGGGTTAATTTGTGAAGGTTTTGAGAATACACTGAAAGATCGCTGTAGGGGTAGAATGAGGGATGCTATGGAAGCATCGGTAAATTCTGCAAGAAAAGTTGGCCACATTATCGCAGAGATTAATGATGACTTTGAGATTCTTGCAAATTACAATCCTCTTTAAATACATATAGATGTTTGGCGACGTTTGTGCAGGGCAAGGAATCTAATACATTGTTGCTTATTTTGTTGTTTTTTATTTTGTATTCTAATTATATATATATATATATATATATATATATATATATATATATATATATATATATATATATATATATATATATATATATATATATATATATTACAGAAATGGGACACGGATGAGTGGAAAAAGTTGTCCAAAAGCGGAAAAAACAACCGTAACACTGATTCTGGGGGGCAGCCAGACATACGGGTGGTAGTATTGGATTTGAGGAGGACCATCTTAAATTGGTAAATAATCCTAATTATTGATTTTAGTGATACATTTTTCTTTCAACACTAATTATATCAATTATATTGTGTCGTTTATATAGAAACAGTTGACGGGTGAAGACCCCTCATTCATTGATCTTTATTATAAGACACATCTTACCGCCGAATCAAAGAAAATATATTTTGGGGGCGATAAAGAGGCACAAGTGGATTTTGTGATTGAGACATCTAGAGTGGCGATCGTAAGTTGTCTTTATCTTTTTTATATATTTACTAATATTAGTTTTTACTTTTTAGTACAATAACAAAAACTTTCTTTTGGTATCTTGTAGGAGTCATATAACACAACCCTATCTCAAAAATATGGTGATGATCCGACTCAACATTATGTGAATGATCCTGAATTGTGGACCCAAACAAAATTACTTAGGAAAGGCGGGAAACAAAAAGGTCCTATCTATGGGGCAGGATACTCAGATCTTCACTTTCTGATGACGGGTGCATATTCTTATGAGTCAACTTCAGCTTCTTCTGACTTTGCAAAGTCACAACAGGAGGTACTATTATTTACATAATATATTATAGAGAAAAAAATCAAGTAAAGAGGTACTTAATATGGCTGAAAAATATATGTTCATATTGGTAAGGTATATTGTTGTTACGGGTGAATTGAAATATGTTGTCATTATTAATATTAGGTAAAGTGCATTGTTATTATGGTTGAAAATGATACTCTTTTTCTATTACTAAATTTGGTAAAACATAATGCTGTAATGGGTGAAAATTATAGTATGTTGCTATTATTGATATTTGGTAAAGTAAATTGTTGTTATTGATAATAATTTAAATATATTGATATTATGGATTGGAAATGTAAAGTACAATGGTATAATGGATAAAAATATAGTATGTTATTATTATGTATATAAAAAGTTATTATTATGGATGTTAAAAACAATGTACATTTTTATTAGCAATAGTGTGTTTTTATATTGAATTAAAAGTAAAGTACATTGCTATCATGGTTTTAAGTTTAATTACATTTACTAACTGCATGTGTTTGTCTTGCTATATTTAGGTAAATGAGTTGAGACAAAAAATGTCAAACATGGAACAAGCCATGGAAGAAAAGCAAAGTGAAATGAATTTGCAAATGCAACAAATGCGAAATGAAATGGAATTGCAAGTGCAACGACAATTGGCGACCTTTATGAAACAAATTAATCCGTCCGATAATCCACCAAGTAGTTCTTAGTTTTTGTTTTAGAACACTAAATTAGTGTTATGTTATTGACTAGTTCTTAGTTTTTATAATGATATTGTAATGGTATTTTGAGTATTTGAATGTATGAATGACATGTTAGTGACTATTTTAATGGTAATGAATGTAATGATATTTGACTATTATTTTAATTATTTATTTGTTTTTTAGCAGAAATTTGGATATTTTTTAAATTATAATTTTGTAGGAATTATAAATTTAATATAGCAATAAAAACTGGCAAAAAGTTCATAGAAAATCTGTAGGAAATAATTATTCAGTAGGTTTTCGGTAGGAAATAAAATCCAATAAAATCTGTAGGTAAAGTAGTTGGTAGGTATTATGTAGGAAAATCAGTTGATAGGTAATCCGTAGGTAAAGTAGTTGGTAGGTATTTTGTAGGAAAATCAGTTTGTAGGTAATCCGTAGGTAAAGTAGTTGGTAGGTATTTTGTAGGAAAATCAGTTTGTAGGTAATCCGTAGGAAAAGAATCCGTATGTATTTTGTAGGAGTTCCGTAGCTAAATAACCCTTAGGTAATCTGTAAGTACTCCGTAGTTAACGTGTTCCGTAGGTATTCCGTAGTTAAATTTGTAACAGAATATTCCGTAGGAAATGTGTAGGAACGTTTGTAGCTAATTTGTAGGAAAAAAATTACCCACGAGGGTTTTCCCTACAACCCGTTTTTTGTAGGAAATTTGTAGGTAACGCCTTGTTTTTACGGATTTACTATCAATTATGCTTTATGTAATTACTTAGTTTTCTAGTAGTGGATATGCCAAAAAAGCATTGACAATAGAGATCATGAAATTGGTTTCATCTCTTGATCATGACAGGAGACTCGACTTGTAGGATTAGAGATGATGAGTGAATTGATAATGGTTGGTAGGAGATGTGTGATTGGTTTATAGGATTCAGTGAACACCTTGATAGGTATTCATGTGAGCATTAGAGAAAGAAATTGGAAACGTAGATTCTTTTAAGGGGTCTTGTGGCTATAAGGATGCATGTTTTATCTTTTTAATAAATCCTTAGATGAATTGAGCTGCATGCACTTGGATGTTCTTACTAAGGGTTTGGACGTCAATAGAGATTATGGTGGTATGCAATAAGGCTTTATGGATTGTTGATTGTTTGTGTTGAGAAGAACATGGCACTGAAACTTGGTTTTTGAGATTAGAAAAACGAGAACAGACACGAACTAGGAAGACAAGGACCAAAATACTATCATATCACATCATCAAACATGATCAGGTTAACAAAGATAATAATTGAGAGAGAAGTGTTAGATTAGTCTAAGTCCATAACTATTTTGGTATGTACTTGACCCGATGGTGCATGGTCCTTTTGGGTTGCCTTAACTAAAGCAACTTGATATGATGAATTATGGAGAGAGAGGATTAAATATGATTTATTAATGTATTATGAGAATAATATATTAAAGGATAAATCATATTGTTTAATTAATATTAGTCAATAATTAATTGGTAATTAGTTTTGTGACTAAAAGAGATTAATTAAACTTAAGGGATTGGAATTGTAATTATAAGATAATTGCAATTTGGGCCATGGATTGCCTTGAATCAAAGGGTGGACGAATTCTATTGGGAAGCCCATAAAGAAATCATCCAAGGGCTTGATTAAAAGGAGTTTATGGGTTGCTTTGGGCTTAAGCATCCAAATTAGGGTTTCCTTGTTAGATAACCCTAATAGCCCAACTATATAAAGACCCCTTAAGGCTCAAAAACGAGGCTAAGCTTCTTGTTAGGGTTTCTACACATTTTGGTAGCCTCCAACCTCTCTCCTCTTCATCCTCTTGCTTATGGTGTTTGTGAACCATTAGAGGAGTGACACTTGTGACTCTAAGCCTTCCAAAGTCAATTCAAGGAGATTTGGGATTGTTATTGCTACATAACAATCAAGGTAACATTATAACTTATTCTTGTGGCTAATATGATTATTTGAATGCTACAATTAGGGTTTATAGTCTTGGATAACTTGCATGTACAATAGAGAAACCTAGATCCAAGCTTTAGGGTTTGTATGAGCACATAGGATGTTCTTAGGACCAAAACCCATCAGTGGTATCAGAGCCTAGCCTGGTTTCAATTGTATCGATGCATTGTATATCTGAAAAATTCGATTTTTGGTGTTCTGGAGGCTGGACTCGCCGAGTCCATAGCTGAACTCGCCGAGTCCATGCAGACTCGACGAGTCCAAGCCTGACTCGACGAGTCAACTCGTCAGAAGGAGGGAAAACCGGGATTTCTTGCTGTTTTTGCTTTGGGATAAATACATTATCATATTAGATCAATATAAATCCGATTTTATAATATATTTGACTATATTTCTGATCTAATTGAAGATATTTATCAAGTAATAAGATAATTGTTTCCTTATGTGATAATTGATTGATTATTTTGATTAAATTGATAAATTGTTTTGTAAGAAATCATTAAATAAATCAAATATGGATAATTATGTGATTAAATGTTAATTTAGATTATTTGTTATTTGATCCTTGTTATGAAAAGTTTCATATTTTCCCCTTTAGGTTTTATAGTTTAAATTTGAACCCAAAAGTTTTGTTGTTTTGAAATTTAAATAGTTGAAACCCTAATGTTTTATAAAAGGTTTCAAAACTTGCCATCAAGTTTTGGAATTTAAATTTTGATTAATAGTTTAATTGTGATGTATATTTAAATTCTAAACCCTAATGTTTTGAAATGTTTCAAAACTTGCCCTCAAGTTTTGGAATTTAAAAGTTGATTAAAAGTTTAATTAGGAATGTTAAATTCTAAAACTCTAGTAATGTTTTGAAAAGCTCAATTCACACCCTTATGGTTTTATTAATTAATAAATGTGTATAATTAAAAGAGGTTTAATAAATCCATAAAGTTTTGGTTCACAATTTAATTGAATTAAAAGTACAATTGTTAATTTTGACCACCTAGTATTTTAAAAGTTTAAAATACACCCTATACTATATATAACATTAAAAGTCTAACATTATATATATGTATGAGTAAAAGTCAGTCTTACCGTTAGTAGGCCTCATTCACGAAGCTGGTCTATAAGGGGTGTTTAAGAAAACTGCCAATAATATGGCGATTGAATGGGTATCCACTCTTACCACCGCACTCTTGACTAGTGGAGGGTCGTTAGCCGAACGGGTAGGATAGGACGAAACCTTCCATTAAAAGTATAATGAAATACAAAGTAACTAAATGTTTTTCAAATTCCCAATCTTAGTTGCTTAGGCGAAAGTGAATTGATGCAATTCCATGAAATTACACTTTGTGCCCTTGCGAAGACGTTAGTGGAGCGTGTATGATTTACCGGCACAATAAATGGTTCTAAGAAAAGGTAGCAAAGGGTGACTCAATGTTTGTCATAGTTTGGTGGAGCGTGTGTGGTTTACCGGAACATCGAATAGGTGACTGTAACATGTGAGGGCACCATGTAAGTTTGCATGGTTATTCACACCCGCTTTGTGATCCTCGGCATCCCAGTCACAAACAAGAGGGGCATATCGAGATTTAAACATGCCATTGAAATGTTCAATGAATCTCAAAGGATCTAGGAGTTTTCATAGATTTAAATCTTAAATTTCTTTTTGTTTTTCATGGTGGAAATTAGTGAATCGTCATTCACTTACCTTCAAATGTTCTGCAATTTGGGTTACGACATCCCTCTCCCAAGTTGTAGAATATTGTGTTGGGTCCTAGCCTTAGTATCTCATTTGGGTGATTTACTAAGGGACTCAATCGATCAACTAACTTGAATTTGTTTTCTCCCGTTTTGTAGATGTCAAAGTTCGACAACCATGGTCTTCCCAAATCCCGTGGAACAAGCATTCCACATGAAGATGGTATTCCACGATTCGATCGAGGAACAAGAAATCATGCTTCACTTCCTCCACCTCCTCCAATTGTTCTCCCTAACCCACAAGATCGAAGAATTGAAAGGTTCCATATCACTAAGGCCCTATTGGAAATGAAACATGAAGATGGTAAATCTGTGTGTGCCCACATTCTAGGAATGAAATCACACATCGATAGGTTGATTATGTTGGGTTTGTCATTTCCCAATGAGTTGGCTGTGAACTGGGTTCTGCAATCACTCCCTGAATCATATAATGAATTCAAAAGAAAGTATTATATGATGGATTATGACGAAAACCTCATTGACCTAACTTACATGCTCATTGCTGCTGAATCAGAAATGATTTGGCGAAGCAATGGAGCATATTTGTTGGGAAAGTCAACCGACCATGCTTCCGAGGACGTGCTAGGAGAACCGACCTGCATTTGCTGCCAAGAGAAAGGGCGTTGGATAGAAGTCTGCCCCAAGAGCCTGAAAATTCCAAAGATGGGAGAGTCAAATAGTATGACTGCGCTTCAGGTAAAATCCACTATGTAACTTCATTAAGTTCCTATTCATTGATTCAAATACATGATGTGATAAGATTGCATTTGAATGTTTTGCAGGATCGGTGAAAAGAAAGGAAGCTTGGTGAAAGAGCAAGATGAATCTAATCACAAGAAATGGATCTTGATCGCATGGACTTGAAGATTAGATTTTGAGCTTAGATAGTTATAATAGAGTTGTTAGAAATTTTCATTTTGAAATACATAGTTTTCAAAGGATTTTGCATTGTAAGGACAAATGTTTTCCACTGATTTTATAAATAAAATAAATTTTGGTTTGACTTATTTATTTGTTTACTTCCTTGCAATGAAATCGTTATGAAAAATGATATTTGAATATTTTTTTCAACAAATGGATATGATTCTTATGGAAAAAGTCGAGAATTTACCAAATAGGGAGAGTTTCTCATCACCCAAATTTCAATTGGACAGAAATTTGGAATCACGCAACTTGGTTGCATGATGAATGAGAAATTTCATATTTGGAAATTAGACTAATTCGTTGACAAAGTGTCAAGTCAAAGGACTAGGAGATCAAGCACACAAAGTTGTGTGTTGATCAAGTCCACCATAAGAGTAACAAAGATATTCATCATAATTTACTAAAGGTTTAGTAAATATGATTATACTCATAAGATTAAGTGTAATTCTGAATTAATTGAAAAAGTTTAAATCAAAAGCAAAACAAATAAAAATCAAGTAGGCAGAAAGATAAAAGTTTCTACATTCTAAGAAGATGGGAGAGTACCTTTTATGCTTTATGATAGGTCTTTATGATTAAGAACCATATCTCAATTGATCCTCTAAGTGAGTCTTAGTACAATTGTATGTTTAAGAAGAGGAATCAAGAATTGAAGAAATGGTTAAATCAAAAGGTCAATCATACATCGTTCCAATAAAAAGTCTTAAAGTTAAGATTGTGACAGTGAGTGAGAAGTATTAAGAAGGTTTATAACATTCATCAAATATGGAAAGTTGTGATGTCTTGGATAAGACAAAGGCCAACTAGGACCAATTTATGAAGTGTTTTGATAAAAAACTACACTAACTCTTGAAAATTTGTTTTTCAAGAATTGTTTATTGATAAGAGAATCTTATATGTCAATGAGTCAGTTGGAGTCTTAATGGTCTTGAAAGGTTTCAAGAACAAATCAAATAAACCTTATCGATCATCACTAGCACACGAGTTGAGGTTTACAACCTATCATGTTGACAATATTTTGATTCTGTGCTGTTCCAATTGAGTTAATTATGCATGTGAGTCCTATGAATTCTCATTTTGAATGCATAAAAGGCAAAGCACCTTAATCAATGGAAGGTACATTGATAGGAAAAGGTGAGCTGCTTAACTACTTGGAAGATGTGGTGGGCAGCTGTGCTACCATAAGGTAAGAAATCAAGATTAAGAAAGTTCGGTCCATATGAGTTTGAATTTGTTGTAAACTCTGGTTTTAACAAATTCACATGGATAGGAACAAATA